TAAGTTTCACGTTAATGAAAATCCTCTTTCAAACGTGGAGCAGCACTGATACCGCGCGACTAATAGGAGCCTTCTTCACAAATTAAGCCATATGTTATTGCACATTGAACAAACGATTACGAATGCACGTTATATGAGTCCCTCTCAGCACGCTTTATACTTCGCCAGGAGTTTATTTATTAATTGATTAATTTACCCGAGTGCTTCACTTTTTTTTCTCTCATTTCCATATGTATACGTACATGTGTATATATGTATATTCCTGCCTCCTCTTCATACTGTACCATACAGCAGTTTTAGACCATCTATTGTTATTGACCTCGAAGTAATTCCTATATATGTTGTTACATAAAAATGGATTTTTAGATATTTATTTTATGACATTGCTAGTTAATGATTCTGTCTTGAATTTAGAACATTACAGAAACACCAAAAATGACATTATGTATATAATAAAAGTGAGAATTAATTTTTTAAAAATAACTATTATTGTTATGGAAATAATCTGAAACTTAATTACCAATAATTACTATTATTAATTCTTAATTTACAAGATTTAAAAAAGAATTAAAACAATAGCAAATATTCTTATATTCATTCACAGAAACAAAACACTTCTAATTGATAGATGATCTAAGACTTTTGCACAATACTGTATATATATTTGTATGTATATATATATATATATATTTATTCATTTATTTTAATTATTTATTTTTTCATCCGTCTCTTGCTTCTTTAATTAATTATTTATCCACATCTTTCTTTGTTCGTTTATTTATATATATTTATATATTTATATATATATTTGTGTTTCTCTCATTTTAGTGCCTACTTATTGTTAATCAAGGAGGAATGTAGTCGTAGTGGTCGCGTTGGATTGAGCGAGCTAAAGAATCGTTCGAGGGAGCCGGCACGTTCATCGTCCGGTGTAAAACTAATAATTGAACAAGAAACCCACTTGCATCAATGAAAAATTAGACATGTATTCTCCATTTTAATTGCAAAATATGTGCGAAAATGCCTACGTATATTGGACTATTTGAAACAGATTTAAATCGATCTGACTTCGATTTGTCACTAGTAACTTAACCTCGAACATTTCTAACCTGTTAACCGGATCATGCCTCAATCAGAGAGTCCTGTAGTCATGAAATTAGTAGTTGATATAGAAAGTATTCAATTTCTAATTTTAATTCTTCGAAACAGAAATGTGCTGTAATTTATTTTCAGTGGAAATGAAACGACATATTAAAATAATGAATCCGTAAGTAAAAAATTTAATAATGAAAGATTGGAGCTTAAGATAATTTAATCCGCCTTTCGTCTCATTTAAGAAGTCTATGAACTTATTTAATTTGACTCGAAATTATTAAAAATTATTGAATAACACAAATGTAGCATGAAAAATGTTTCATGCGAAATTTCATCATCGAGTATTAAGTGAAAGAATTTAAAACTGGAAGAAGTAGATAAACACGTCTAACCTTTCATCGCGTAAATAGAGCCAAAATTGAATGGCTAGTGAATTCGCGGAGGCACAGGTTGCGCTTTGTATGACTCGACGATTGTGGATCAGGCATAAACCAATCAGCGTTTTAGAACCAGAGAAACTGAACCGGCCTGTAATGGTTGTCTAGAAAAAAATGACATCGCTATCTCTCTCTCTCGAAGTCCCCGCGAGAATCGGAATCTCAGAATTACCCTAATACATAACGATGACTCTTAAATGATAACGTTTCAAGCGTAAAGACTATACGACGTTTCTTATGTCCATTTCTTTTACCTTTGATTAATCGTCTTCATCCCCGCGAAGAAAACAGGAGCTTTATAATATCCATGCGATAGCTTTATAACAACCCATGGTTGTACATCGCGTCACGAGATATGATCCATAGAATATTCTTTTTTTCTTTATTACGTGTATACGTACGTGCATTTTTATAATCGACAAGATCGATCTCGATTCACATAACTCTATAAATAGAATCGTCAATATTTCACGCGTGATTCCGTATATCGAATATACATCACGTATATATATATATATTTATATATTTGTATATATTAATAGTAATATATAGTATATATACATACATATACATATATATTCGTATATCTTAATAAGTATATTACGGAGCTCTTCTATATTTAATTCAATTATTATTTAATATTTAATTCAATTATTATTTCCTTGCTCTTCTCATTGGGATAATTCAATTCCTTACGATAAAGTACTAATTTCTATCATTTTACATTTTCCTTGTCTTTCGCTTCGCCGTGGAAGCAGAAACACGATATTTAAATTACATTAATTACGTAATTACAGATTAGATCTCCCGTTGGCGAGACGACGACAAGATCTCTCCGTTTTTCTCTTTTTTTTTTCCTTTTTCCTGTTTATAACTTTTATAAGGCCCAAATATTGTGCGCTACCTGTTCAACATAGAAATTACGCCAAAAAAAGAAAAAGGAGAAAAGGAAAGGAATCGCGAAAGCGTGTGATTCGGTGCTGCTTTGTGTTGAGAGAACGCCCCGGAGGACACCGCGCGTCATGGGTTCAGTTTCTCGATTCTCTCTCACTTATGCGTTATGCTTGACCCATTTAGTCAAATGCGAGGAAAGACGCTTCGTCCGATCTACGACCAACGACAACGATGGACTCACCTTATGTTGTCGTTCGATCTCTTTCGAGGACAAACAAAAAGAAACCAAGCAGAGGCAGCGCGAGTCGGGTCCGCGTATGTCATTACTAACAGAAGATCCGACAAGTTTTCTGGTGTTGGCAAGCTCATCATTTTGGCACACCTAACATTCCCCAAAAATGCAATCGGTCGATCGTTGTCCTCGCTGAACACCGTGTCCTCGAAGCGTCGAGCTTGGCAGACCTAACCTAGACCTATCGAAGCTCGAGTATAGCCTCTTTCTGTCGTGACTCAAGTCAGCCAACCACAGAGCACGGATGATAGGAAATGTCCATTAATAGACGATCCAATGATACGCGGCGATCCCTGGAAGCTGGGCGAGGATCGATCTCGTCGAGGAAACTGGACGTTCTTCTCTAATATCGTCATCTTCGTTGTCTACGATCGTCGACAAATCAAACGGATTTAGAACTAGAATCCGTTTGTTATGCTCCTCTGTGTTGCTTCGTCTCGTAGTCGATTTTCTCTTATCCCGTTTAGTGCGCTCGTTTCCCTCGACGACACCCTCAATCAGGCGATCAGGTGACCATAGAGAACGCTTCTCCGAACTCGCTCCTACATCGGGCCACAGCCCACAATTGCCGTGCTACACCCCCTGGAATGCGTTGCCAGTGTTCATTTCTTTCTCTTCTAGCTGTCCACAGAAGCGTCAGCCTCAGGTGGCGTCACTGTCGCGCGCCACGGACTCCCTGGCCTCGCTGCGCCGGTGGCGTCCTCCCGTCGACGGCGGTTGACGGTAACCGCTATTCGCGACCACGCTCTCGCTGGTGGCGCTGCTGCTAGTCGAGACGCTGTCCGCTTGTGGGTCGAGGCTGGCGCTAGGAGGCGCCAGCAT